AGTAGGACCCATGCAATCCCAGAGAGACCTAATCGCCAAACATCTCAACCAGGGAGAAACACCCAACTCTACCTCCCCCCGCCGGTTGGGTGGTCGTCGGATGTCACCTCTCTCTGATCTTCCCCCCGGTGTTCCAGTGCGCCAGCTGGAAAGGGGAGAGCGTGGCGGGCCCACCCAAGGTGCCAGTCTTGGGCGGTGTCCAAGTGCCCCCCAACTGGATGACTTCTGCAAATGAATTTCGGGATGGTCCATCGGCCAAGTTACTCTTAGATTCAACATGATCAATATAAACGTGAGGTTTAAATTGAGCGGCGGTCAACCAAAAGGTGCCGACGAGGTGGGAACTGTCGGGCTGTGGAGAATATCCTTTCACCAAATTGGTGGCCGCGCTATCGTTGTCCACAAATAAGATAATGGATCTCTCGCTAATGAGCGGGGCCCAGAGATCAAGGGCCCAGAGTGGGGCAACAAGTTCCAATTGTCCCATATAAGATTTCCGGGGACGCCAGGATTCCACCATAGTGAGAGGAACTTCCTGAGCGGAATACAGCAGCTGCTGGGATTCCGGAATGAAGAGAACCGCTCCGACTAACCTTTGCGGTTGTCTGTCGGGAACGTCTGAAGCATCTGTATACAAGATGACTGGGGGGCGGTCAACGAGGAATAGTTCGCGTGATGGGCACATTTTGAGGAATGCAAGCATCATGTGGAGTGACCATTTGAGATCAGGGGTCAGGCCTTGAAATTTGTGTTGGGAGTACTGTCGCGCCCGCAAAGGGCCAGTGCAGCACCTTCCCACTTTGCCAAACAATGTGGAGCACAGGAAACCAAATTTCCCGACAATACTGGCTGCGGATGCGGCCGACAGCTGCCCTGAGTCCAGGACCTGATTGATAGTGTCGCAGAGATTGGTAACTCTGGACGGCTTGGCCTCCAAGAAAATCCTGCGCTCAGCCGCTAAGCTCTGGGTAGAAAACATAATGCCCAGGATTGCGCAAGTCTCCGAGGGGGTTTGCGACTTGTCAGGGTCCAGTTGAAAGCCAAGCTCTGTGAAGAGAGCCTTGATACAAAAGATAGCGGAGTCAACAGTGGAAGCAGGCTCCAGGCAGAAAAAGTCGTCAAAGAAGTGATCTGAAAAGGTGTGAAACAATCGGGTTGAACAACGCGATATCCACTCTGCGACCCGACAGAAGTTAGGAACTGAGTGGCCGGCACCAAAGGGTTGTCCGTACATCTCATGAAGTGAGACAACATCACTGACTGGGTCGTACACTGCGGTAATCGCGAACCGGACGTCCGCTGGATGCAGAGCTATCTGCCGATACGCGGATTTCATGTCCTCCGTTGCCAGTTTGACAGACGGGAAATGTGCTGCTAGTGCACGAAGCATGACGCCGATGTAATCGACCATGGTCATTGGCACCTTCTGCAAGCGATGTGCCATCTGGTTTACTCCCGATGCAGTGTGGTCGTCTATTCGACGATACTTGGTGCCTTGAGCCAGGCCGAAACTCGGGGTGACTTGAACTTCAGCACCGTACTTTGCATGAGCCTGATCTAGTGTGAGGGCTGGTCCCATGGTCCCTGCCGCCACTTCACGTTGGGTCTTCTCCCAGATGGCTTGAGCCAGCTCTGGGGGGCCCTTTTGGGCCATGTGTCGGACTCTGTCGATCATGGCCAGCGAGCGTTCCTGGCACCCGTTGAGAAAACTCTCTCGAGACATGGACGGTCGGACTTCAAAGGGTTCGAAGAAAGGGGATAAATGTGCTCTCCCCGTAATGCGCATCCCTTCCAGGCACAGAGTCGGAACTTCTGTGTCCTCGATGTGTAGAAGAGTCTGCAGGCGACTCATCAGACATGTGTTGGGCCGGACACTGAGCTTTTTGGCCGTCCATGCCGCGGAGGCGTTAGCGCTCGCCTGCTCAACCTCGAGCTCTGCTTTGAGTTTTCTGACTCGCGCTAGCTGTTCCAGCCGAAAACGAGTCAACGCTGCGGGTTCTTCCCGCAATGCATCCAGGCACTCGAGGTGATCTTTCTTTAGGGTTTCCATTGTGGAGAAAGGATGTTTCAGCCTGCGTGCTTGGTTCAAGTGCAGCCTCGCGTCATTTAACCCGCTAGGTATAAGCTGCTGCCGCTTCCCGAAGCTGGGTTGCTTGGCCGCCTCCACGGCCTGCGCGCGTGACCTCGTACTCTCAACTCCGGCGTTCCCCAACATCATGCCCTCCGGTGCTCCGGTGGGGATTTCGTCTGGGGCGCTTGAGACGTCTGAGGCACGGGTTGCACTTCTCCCATTTGCACGTTGGACAGTTCTGACTCTTCCGGTCCTGGTGGTCTCACCGTATCCGGAGGAACTGGGGGATAGACTCCCCAGGCTTCGGCGAGGGCACATGAGAGGGGTGCATTGGGGCCTGAGAAGACTTCAATGAACGAGTGAATACGGCTTCGTGTGTCGTTTGACACTGCTTTCGCATATGCATTGCAGAAGCCCACCGGGTACTCCCTTTCTAGGCCTGTCGCAAAGGATGTGACCCTCCCCTTCTCAACTCTTGGCTTCCAAGAGAGGTGGTGTCTGCCTGTGCGTGTGCAGACACGGCTATTACTACAAATCAAGTTTAAACTACTATGCAAAGCGGGGATATTGTGGATGAGGACCTGGGCTTTCCTCCTCTCACTCCCTTCAAACATACACGAGTGATATTCCGTGGCCCACACCCCCTCTTCCGACTCTAACCTCCTCCAGGACTCTAGGTCTCTGGCAATGGAGTTTCTCGGATGCTCCAGGGTGAAGAACTTCCCCGATCGCTTGGCCTCCAGGCAATTCAAAGCGGCCATGTCGGCCATCTGCGTATCCAAATCTAGTTTACGTCTTTTGGAGACAGGGAGTTTGGCTATTACCTCTGGAATACCCTCTGGAAAGTGTGAGCTCCTGAGAGGTGTTGGGGGGTTTTTGACTCCTGGGATTGGTCTTTCACGGGCTCGGGAAAAGGTGCAGCAGTTCGGACCCCAGTGCTGTAGGTCTGAGGTACCGAGGTCCCGATGGAGCTGTTTACGGTGTTGAAAAACATCCCTTCCCCTCAACAAATCCCAGGGTTCAGCGACCTTTTTCTCCTCTCGTCGGAGGCTCTCTGTCTTTAAAAACTCTACACCTCCCGGAGCGCGGGCCGCTCGCACTCCCGAGAGGAGTTGTCCCTATTTCTTGGCGTCTTTCCCTCCTTTCTCCTTCTTGTGATCCTCCTCCCGCTTGCGCTTCTGCTCACGCGACTGCTGCTTCTGCTCCTTCCGAAATCCGGGAGGGATCTGGCAGCGCGGCTCGTGGTGCTTGCGGCAGACGATGCACAATCGGGGCCTCTGAGGGTCGCCTCTCCTTTCCTTGGTCAGGGTGGCCTTCTGGCTGCTGGCTGAGGAGCTTCCAAAGCGGTTCCGTGGCGAACTCCCTGGTGTAGTGGCTCAGGCCTGCCTCCACAGAACCTTTTCCCTTGGCCACCCATTTCAGGATCTCTCCAAAAATCTCCCTGTCTGCACGACGCGCCTCATTCATTGTGGGGTTCCTCATGCCCTCTGCCGTGACTCCACGCAGGCTGGCGATGATCCTCTCCCCATATGCTTTCACTACGTCGTACTTGCAGACATCTAGGATGTGAAAAGCCCTGGCTCTCAACTCGAAGAGATCCTGCAGCGCCACGAGGTTGTCGACCACGACCGTCTCCGGGAACTCGACATCCGTGTCGGTCATCTTCAAGTTCTTGCCATCGACCACGAGCTCCTTCTTGTCTTTCGGCAACCTTCCAGCTCGCCTCAACCTTGATTCAACCTCCATCGACACGTACGACTCCCAAGCAAGGTGCTGGAACGTCCCGTTCGGCATGAAGGTCGCCTGCACTTTGGAGAGCGTGTGGAGCGAAGGCCTTTCCCTGTCTGACCTAGCTTCGGGCATGTTGGTCTCAACCGCCTTGTCCTCCAGCTCCTGGGCATAGGCCAGGGTAATCTTGGACTTCCCTTCGCCCTCTTCTCCGGCCAATCTCTCCAGCTGGCGTTTGGCCACTTGCGTGGCCAGCCCCCAGAGCTTTCGAAGGCAGCCTGTGTCCGGCTCGGACTTGTAGTCCTCCCACGACAGGATCACCGGCTTGTCGTAAACCACGATCTCGTCGTTCTCGTCGCGGTACCCTCCCCTCTTCCGCAGCACCTTCTTGAGGTAGTCCTCAAGATCAGCGTTGGACGGGAGTCGGTATGCCATGGCCTCGAAGGTGCTTATCTTGTCTGCGGCCATGACCAAAAAGTCACTCTCATGGACCTCGAAGCTCACCGCGGCTCGTCCGAAGGCCAGAGTCGACTTTGCATCCGCCATCTCGGCAGGAACTCCGGGACTCCGGGGGGGGTGTTTGATCCACTCATTGGGGCATCGGCACATACGTCTACAATGTGCACCCATCACGTCCATACGAAAGGACATGGATCCCCAATGGAAACTCCAGCATTGCATGAAATCTTGCGAACTGGGTTGCATGGCTACATGGTTTAAACAATCGCCCTGGCACCCGAATTTTTTGCATCGTATCGGTCCACAGACTCAAATGTCGTCCTCTAGCACCTCTTCACTGTGCAGGGTGCACCTGTGCCTACTCGAGAGGTCGAAGCCTGGCTCACTTGGGTTCAGGTGCCCTTGTACTTGATCGCCCCTGCATCGCCGCCCGCAGCGAAGGACAGCCCGGCCGCCCTTCACCAACACGAAGTCACATAGCAAGGGGCACGTGGATGACTCTGCGTTCTTTCCGAAGCACTTGTTGCAGAGCTTATAGTCCACGCCCCAGCTGTGGTCCACTTGCAGTTCTGCGAACCTTGATCCCTGGCTCCCACTTCGGTAGGCCCTCGTCTCGCGGAGAAGGTTTGTGAATCCTCCCCGCTCCTGAGGCCAGCTGCACGAAAGTATGGTGCATCTCCAAATCGGTAGCCGCTGGATCGCCTTCGCTGTCGTCGGAGTCCGGCCCCAGCTCAACTCCGTTGGGTGTGGTCTCAACTTGCTCCAGCGGATGATCTCGGTAGTGTTTCGTCTTGGTCTCCTTCTCCTTCTCCAGGGTCACCTCAAGCTCCTCCAGGTCTTCAGCTCCCGCGCCCCGCAGCGCAGGTGGGAGTTCGGTGACAGGGACCGCACAGTCTCCGCTGATCTGGCGTTCTCCCTGTTGATCCTCCGTGCATACGACGGCGCGCGTCATGGCTTCCACGCCCAAAATCGCCCCGCCGGACTTAGGTAGCCTGTCCTCCTCAATGAGGGTCTCGACCGTGGCCCAATCGGGCTGTTGCATGCTGTCTAACTCCCGGCCCTCCAGGGTCTGAATAATTAACCGCTCCACGGCGGATCTGGTCCAACACCTCTATCTGCGCCTTTAGGACCAGAATCTGAGACTCGCGGAGATACAAATCGGGCATAAGCTCCGAAGGATCTTTCCAGGCTCCCTGGAACCTCACCGTTCTGGTGGTGACTTTGAAGTGGGTCATGTAGGTCGGCGTGGTGGATTTGCAGCTGTGCCACCTCAGGCGTAATGCCTGCTCCCTGGGCATGATGTGCGGATTCCCACCATCTATGTCGGCCAGGAGGGCGTTTTTCACCGTCAAGGTGTCCTCCGAGATCAAAGGGGGGTACATCTCCCACCCCTCCGTCTTCCCGGCCGCCCTGCCAACGAACGTGTGGGTGCGCCAGTCGTGGCCGTGCATCACCAGTAGGAGCTCCACCCACCTGATCAGCCACTTGTCATTGTCCGGATGAACTCCCAGTAGGCTTGCCGCCCATGTCCTGGGGCCGGACTTAGTGTATGCAGCTTTCGCTCGAAGTCCCAATACTCCCGCACTGCCAACCACCCGGCACCACTCAACATCTCTCATGGCGGTTCCTGCCAGGTCCGAGTGACGAATGCTGGATTGGGAGCACAAACGAAGCTTGCCGCAAGCAATGCGCGTCTGCAAGTCCCGGCTTTCATCCAACACCACCTTCTCCAGCCAGCTCAGAAAACGGATCTCGAAGAAAGGCGCAGGTTTCCTTTCCGGTGACTTGCCAACGTAATCGGAACAAAGCCTTCGGACGCGGGGGTGCGCAGAGCCTGGTGAGTGGTACCCAAAGAGGCCGCCGAAGTACTCAACGGCGTAGAGGAAGCTCCGAGGGGTATAGAATCCCACTCCCTCTTCGATCATGCTGATGACGAATGCCTGTATGGCCTCTAGCCCCATGATCTTGGGCCCGGTGACCGAGGGAGCCCCGTGTTTAATCTCGTAGGCCTGGACGTACCTCTCCAAGAGGCGAGCATACCGAAGAGCTGTGCCGGCCGACTTGGGATCAGTGTACTTATGGAAGAGTGCATAGTCGATGATCCCTTCTTTCGAGCTCACTGCCTCTACTAGGTCCATCTCCACCTCATGGATCACGAGCTCCTCGAAAAGGTGGGTTGCAAGCTTCCTGAACTCCTCGAGTTTGGTTTCCTCGAGGGGGCGGCTCCTACGAGGCAGGCTCAAAGGGACATACGGCACCGTCTGGGAAGTCCGGGCTTCTGGGTCGGGAGGCCGGCCCGCCTTCTTGGAGAACTCTCCGAAGATTCCAACTTCGCCCAGTCCTCTAGCGACTTGCTCCGGGTCCAACTCCGGCTCCACCACTCTGGCGCCTGACGATGGTCGTGGCTTCTCTTCCGTCTCCTCCTCCTTCACTCGCACCTGCGGAGCTGGAGGGGTTGGGTTGCTGGCCTTCTTGACGAAGCCAAGGGGCGAGTGCGCCGCCCCGAGCGCCCAGGTGGGTGCATCCCGGGAAGAACGATCTGATGACAGATGTGGCGTGGAAGCGGCGGAAGAAGAGCCCTCTGAACCTGCGGGCACCCTAGAGGGCTTCTCCGCCTTCTTTTCTGACGCCCATCCTGGAGGGCCCACCCGGGAACTCTCAGGTGGCCGCTCCTCCGACTGAGATTTCACTGCGGTGTCTTCCGCGTCGCCTAACTCTCCTTGGAACTCCAAGGGTCGATCGCCTTCCGAGCCGCTCCGGATAGCTTCCAGGATCTCGCTCGAAGGGACCCCGCTCTCGATCATCCTTGCGATGGCGGACCAAGCACCGGCAGCAAACAGCCCGCTCGTCTTGCCTAGCTTTGCCCGGTCCTTCCTGGGGGAGACCGCATCGATCCTCTTCGAGCCGGGTCCCCTCCCCCGGCTGCCGCTTCGACCGCGTCCTCGAGGGGGGTCGAAAATGGTCACAGGCCTGCCGGCTTGGGGCCTTCCTTGTACCCACACTGGAACTGACATCCCCCCGCTGATTTAAAATTCAGGGGAGGACCGTTCGAGTGCGGGACTTGACCCAAAATGGCCACGTTGTTCGTCCCGCTGACCAGACATTTACTATAGTACCAGGGGCACAATCTGTATATATGTAAATAACAGAGCAAGTCCTCGAGTTTTGCATTGTTTTCTTGCAGCAAACTCTTCAACTTGTAAGTCTTGAGCTAGTTTTGCAGGAAGAGAAGATGACTGCGGTTAAAATTCAAAAATCAGTGCACAGCAAAGTGGTTTTGACTGAATTTCAGCTACAATGTGCCGCTTCATGGGCTTCTTCTGCTCCTGCAAAAAGTTGTTCCTTTTTGAACACCTTCCCATGTATACAACGTTTGCAATCCTTCGTTCTGCACAAGGTTTCCAAGGTTTATTCATCTTCTCCACGGTCCACTATTCAAAAGCATCCTGTGGTCGTGCACAAGAACTTTGCTTAGACTCAGACTTAGGCAAGCATCCTTCTTTACATACATGTTGTTGCTTTTCTAAACCTTCAATAAGCGCCACAATTCAAACATTTTCGTTTCCCAACCCTCTTCCTTGCAAACCTTGAGAAGTGCTGTCATTGTATTTCTGAATCCCAGTGCTACAGCAGCATAGGGTCTGTACAGGGATGATGTCCTAGGCAGAGGCAGGGCTATGTCTCCCAAACTCTAGAATTCAGAGTCTGAGACTAAGCTGAAACTACTCCAAGAATATTTGTGACAGCTTTGGTAGCAAGTTCGGGCATGGATAGCATTTAGGTCTGATGTCCTTTGAAAGGTGAACTGCTGGAAGAACCGGCAGTTGGCATCACGCTAGTTTTCACGGCCAGCAGGTCTGATCAGGTGTCAGCTGGCTGTACTCGTTTGGTTTCCACTTTCACTTAGAAGATTGAGAAGGCTGAAGAGTAGCTGCAAAGCCAAGATTTCATGGAGATCGGATATGAAGCAGCTCAAGGAGGTTGATTCAGATTGTTTCCAGCTCTGCGGCTCTGCCTGTTTGCAATGTGTGGATTGATTTATTACGTTTTTGGACTAGGCAGGCCGCAGTGAACGGATGCAACATGATAATTACCTTCTGCAAAAAATGCAAACAACATGATTTATATTATTCCACATTCCACTATTTGCACAATGTCAGCGACAAACCTCAGGCCGAATGTTCTCATCCGGTTCATTCTCTCCTGCTCGACAGATTGTCAAACATGACATTGTACAACTACCATATAACCATATACAGTAACTACCATCATCATGTATGACATTGACATGTTTCATGCTTAACGTATGCATGGTGATACATGCTTATGATCTTACGGTCCTCCTGCAACCTACAAATTCCAAAAACCAAGGCCCAACCGGGCCCAACCGCCTTGAAAAATTCCCCAGCACTGTCTCACAACGGCAATTTTCATGGACTGACCCGGTTGCGACCTATCATTCTCAAATACATCCTACCAGTAACTGCCAGTAACTAAGTATATATAGAGCTCGTGGAATTATCCATAACGGCCGTGAGTGTACATACATTTCTTGTTTAAGTCTTGTCCTTTTGGAAGGGCATCCTTGGTAATACGTTATCATGTTGTTTCTTTAAGGGTCTCCTTTGCACGCATTTCTATTTATGAAATTGGCCACCCTACACAAAGTGCACATCACCCTCCTTTGACACAGCCTTTGTCTTATATATTTGTCTATAGTTCAACATGCTGTGGCCTATTTTTATTGAAGGTGCTCATCTTCTGCAGAGTTTCTCCACCCCCCAAGCCTGTTCCTTTTCTTAATTCCCTATGATTGTCACACCAGCAGTAATGTACGTTTGTTGTTTTTATGCACTTTGGGGCCCTTGGACCTATATAAATAAATATGCAGTCGTGAAACATAGCCACAGTCCTTATTATATAATTAATGTTTCTTGTTGTGGGGCGTAGGGTTGTCCTCCTGCAAAACATTCGTATCATTTAAAAGGTCTTCTTCGCATTTGTTCAACGCTGACGCTCATCCTCTGTCAAGTCCTGCCTAAATGTCAAGCAGCTTTTGAGAGGATTTGAGAGGATTCAAGGAGCCGTGCCTGTGATTGCTACAGCCTGGGTTGGTGACAATGACCCCGTCCAGCGTCCACAGGACCTGAAAGCATATAATATCGATGGAAGACCTTATCCAGGCACGAGCAAGGTGATGACCGAAGTTCAACGGAAGACTTCTACATTGGCTGATGCACATATGGAATTAACTGGAGTCAATCACGCATTCAAACACCCCGGCTGGAAGGTTTTCCGGGCCCCACTTCTGCAACCCAGGTTACCTCAACTTGCTGAGACCCTGCAGCACTGGCATTTTTTTGGCGCTCGCTTCGCCATACAGTCTGAGCATTTCCGCTTCGAGGGAGGCCTGGTGAGCATTTTCCGGGAGAAGAGGGAGCCATGCCGATGCAGGCCGCAAACTGAACATGTGTGTCCCTCCAATATCTTCTTTGCTGCTGTAGCATTTGTCTCTTTCCGAAGTTTCACTGCCTTCATGGAGTCTGCGCCTTTGGTCAAAAACCATTTCCCTCGCCGCAAGTTGTTTCGCTGTTGTCTGCCTATAGAAATAGAAGGTGGCCCCAAAGAACGCTGGAATCGAAAAGCGCACGTGCCCACGGCAATCACTGACAAAGGCTTCTCCCGTTCTTGCAATGCAGAAACCAAATGGTCGCTGCAATAAAAAAGCTTGTTTGCCCCTCTTTGCACTAAGCTGCCTGTGTCCAAAGTAGTGGGAATTCCTAAATCTCTCGTAACATCTTGAGGGACTTGATCCAAGAATTGAAGCGAAGAAGAGCCTTGAATACTCTGAAGAGTCGGCGTTGGCCTCCTCTCACATTCTGTTGGCCACGGTTTCTCCTTTCGGAGCAGTGCAACGAAGAAGCCTCCGGTATTGGCGAGGAAAGGAAGACACCGCACACAGCGTTCGAGGTGCAAATCAGCACAATCAGGCGGCCACATTGAACGCCGAAAGCGTTTGCGTTGTGCTTTGGTGAGGCCTCCCATTGCGGGATCAACAAGTCCACTGGTGCGGGCCATACTTGTGAAAAGGGCTGTTATGAAGCAAAAGTGTCAGAAAACCACAAGTGAGGCCTGAGAAGCCCGGGTGATGCCAAGAGTTCAATGAAACAGAATGATGATCACATCTTTATTCAAGGTGTATAATGCACTTTACATTGGTAGAAGGCATGAAAGGCATTGACTGGCATTGAAAGGCATTTGACATGGTCAGCTCTATCATTCCGCTCTTTTCGCCTTCAGGGCCATGGAGTTCCTCAACAGTCCAAGTGGTGAGGCCAGGCCGAGTGGGCAGCCCCTGCAAGTCCGGGACCACTTCCAGCACGGCACCGGTTCGGAGGAGGAGGGCAGCAACCACCGCCTCGTTTTCCAAAGGGTTGAAGGAGCAGGTGCTGTAAGTCCTCAATGGTGCAACTGTGGAAGTGAAGATTTGTCTGCAGCCTTAAGCCTCAAGCCCCAACCAGTGAGGTAATTTTGGACGTGTTAAAAGGATTATGTATATTTATGATACATTATGACTATAAATGGCAAGAAAGTGGCATGCTAGCTCCGGGCTTGATTTCCAAGCGGTTTCTGCCTGTACTGTACGCAGGGACCAATAACGAATCCAAATATATACCAGAAATCCAAACGCGAGCAGCAGCCTTTGATGATCACACCAGTACTCACATCAGCAGGTTCAGAAGAGAAGCACAGATCCACCGGATAACAGCGAGCAGCAATGTTTGCAGCACCTTTGGGAATCACATAGAGGCAGCGGCATAGACAGCATAGACGTAAAACAGTTCAGAACTGTACAGCTTGGGCCACCCTTCTGGCCTCTTTCTATGTATAATAAGAGACGTTTCCAGTCTTTGTCTGTTTACATATATATATATATGTGTATCTATATATCTATATATATAAATATAATCAATCCTTTTGTTTGCCTAATTGCAACTCTCTCCGCAGCTGTTTGGGCAACAGGCCCGCTGTCATTCACAAGCGTGCAGAACTACAAAGGCGTAGCGGGTGCAGCTCTGGAGAGCTTCATGGAGGAAACGGTGGAGGGCCCGCATATAGCCTAGCTGTGAACTGGTAAGCCCCAACCAATGTCAATCCTATGACAACGAAACAATGCTCAATGCAAAAGCCGCACGCAACCGCCTTTTCAACTCATGGCCATGTCCTCAGTCCATTGGCGTCCTCGCCAGTCCAAGTACAGGCCTGAACCGAGTTGGCCACAACGGAACAATGCATACCTTCGACCAAATGGCTGCAACTACACTGCTTAAAACTGCTTCCCGGTTCACAGAAAGGTGCTTCTTCTCCTGCTACTTCGAAAAAGGCTGCTGTGATCTCAGCCACCTCGGTGTCGATGCCTAAGCACTGGGCTTCATACTCTGAACCATATATCTCACGGTCCAAAGCATCTTCTGGGTCCAGCAACAATCCGCCTCCTCCGGCTCAAAAAGTACCTGAACGCCGTACTCATCACCAAAGATCTCTCGATCCAGCGTGTCTTCAGCATCCAGCAATCGCACAAATGCTTCATCGTTGACTTCTGTCTTTTCTGATTCTTCAACTGATCCGTGACCTTGAAGGTAGTAGAAAATTGTCTTGCCCTTCCAAGGTCTCTCTGTCTTCCGGTGAGCTTCCAAGCTGTTCTTCCAGTTTGGTGTGAACTGTTCATCGGCGGTGCCGTCCTGGTACTCCATGATGGTCAGTCGTGCCATGCTCAACTGATGGACCGGCACTGGGCATCCAGTCTGTGCTGGACTGAACATGGAGGCCCGGCCCGTGGGTTGACATGATGTCTGGTCACTTCTGTATCGGTCACTGTCCAGGAATCACGTGGTCTGTCTGACCAACTGCGCATCACTGCATCGATCTCGGCATCTTCTGTCCTGGATGTAGTGTTTCCTCCTCCAACCATGTTCACAAAGCTCACCTTGGAACTGCCAGAACTGTCACCTTTTGCACTTGATTTGCCTTTCCGTGTCGGGCAGTTGCGTGACAAATGACCAATCTTCTGACATTTGTAGCATTTCACTCGGCCTTCCACAGTCTTTTTGAGTCCTCCGGTATTGAGCCCGCGCGACAACTTCTCCTTGTTGATGTTCTGCCTGGTCTGCTTCCAGGAGAGTAGGACGTCCACTGCATCCTGCTCTTCGATTGGGTCATCACCCAACAGTCCCTCGTCGTCTTCAGCTACGAGAACGTCTCCAATGTCGCCTGCATCGTCGTCCTCCGCTTCAGCATCAACAACTGCAGCATGGTGACCCTGACGACCTGAGTAAAGGCCCTCAGGATACGTCGTCCTCAAAGCAGCCGCGATGTCCGTCTCCTCATACGACTGTCTGGCGGCAACCATAACCACTGCCTTCTTGTCTTGAGGTAGTCGGGCATTCCTCAACAACCCCGGGCAACCGATGGCAGGCGTACGCCTTCCGCTTCTGCTGCAGAAAACGCTGCACGTGCCTTCCCAGTGTACTGCGATGTTGATTCGCCACGGTCAACTTTGAGATCAAACACCCGATCCAATACCTCGCCCAAACGATCATGCACAGCCTCCTCAGGAAACCTGTCGTCCAGCACTTGGTATATCAGATCTTGTCCGCCAGCTTGTTCCAGGTCGTCCATGTTGACAGCATCGAAGGAACGAAGCGCTGTCCCATCCAGCATCGTGAACAGCATAGCTCCGAAAACAGATTCATCTGCCCCCTTTGCTCTCTGCACTGCCAGATAGGCCCTCGACCATCGCTTCCACAGCTTGTAGTCTTTCTGTGGCTCGCTGCCGTCTCCACTGAACCTGCGGATGGCGGATTCGCCTTTGGTGTTCTCTGTCGTGCATCTTTTCTCGCAAGCGGGCCCCGAAGGGCTCCGCTACCAGTGCGAACTGCTAAGCCCCAACCAATGTCAATCCTATGACAACGAAACAATGCTCAATGCAAAAGCCGCACGCAGCCGCCTTTTCAACTCATGGCCATGTCCTCAGTCCATTGGCGTCCTCGCCAGTCCAAGTACAGGCCTGAACCGAGTTGGCCAAAACGGAACAATGCATGCCTTCGACCAAATGGCTGCAACTACACTAGCGCTCAAAAGGTTGGTGCGCACCACCCGACATGACATTTCATCTTCAAGTAGCATCCCCACAATTCCCCACATACAAGCTGGACGGGGCGCAGGGGACAATGCAGCGCCTCTCTAGAGAATATAGTAGCATCGAACCAATAACACTATGTAAAACAATATAGAAACTATATATATATATGTAGAGAATTAAGTCGTTTGCACACATGTTATTATAATACATGTTAGAATTGGGTTAAACATATGTTACTCATGTATACAAACATTGTATATATATATATATTTATTTAGTAAATGTGTAATATAATAGTATAGTATATTTCCTGCTAAGAGTGCTAGAGCTTGTCAATAAGACATACTGAATCTTCCGACACAGCAAGAGGGCAAAAACCCGTAATCTTACCAACGCGTTCTGCTGTGAATCATAAGGCCGCCAACTTTCAGCAAAGCCATTGCCCTCAAAGCAATCTGAAGCTGCCGGGAGTGAAGCTCTCTGCCCAAGTGCGGGCTCCATGATCGCCATTTCTCTGGATGCTTCCGCATTGTGCCATCTCCACTGCACGGCACATCACAAATGATACGATCAAACCCACGTGTCTTGTCGCCACAGGGTCCTGGGAAGGTCTGAGCCTTGTGTTGCACCACCGCCAATGAAGCAGCCCGCTCTTGCAACGTGCACCTCCTTGCCAAGACACAAGCGCGGCTGGCACTAAGTTCATTTGCAATCACTGCACCAGCCAATTCCAAAGCTTGCAATGTCTTAGATCCAGGTGCTGCACAAAGATCCAACACAACATGGTGAGGCTCAAGGCGAAGGACAGCAACCGGAACTGTGCTCACTACCTCCTGACGCGAAATACGTCCTTCAGCTGAGCTTTTCGTGAGCCACTGCCCCAACTGTGACAATGCGGACTTTGGATTCTCCATCTGTTCCTGTCTGAGTGTTTTCGCGTCGCAGCCTAGTGACATTGTCCGGGAAAATGGAAAGTACCGAGGAGCTGGCACAAATCGGCCCCATGCAGTGGTGCATCCATCTTTTAACTCCTGCGGTGCACTGTATGGGTGCCAGAATGGGTTGGCCACCAATCAGTTGTGCAGGTTTAGTCTTCCCAGATTTTGTCATATCTCACTCTCATCACTCATGGCTCAACACCCCTTGGGTCGGTGTATGGGCAATGTGCAGATTGATTTGTTCCCAAACCCACGCGCAGCACACGCCCCGCGGCACGCTCTGTACTTCTCGGCCGGCCCTATTGAATCGGACCTATCGGCGGTTTTCGAGGTTTGTTGGAACCGTCCTCGTGGAAATGTTCCAGTTGGCTCCAGGCTTCTTTGCTCACACGAAAAGCAACAGGAAGCGGCTGCCGCAAAGAATGTGCTAACTTGGCCCACTCACTACCATCCGCCAAACACTGAGGCCTGGGAATGGCACATGGATGGGATTATGGGGTTTCTTAGTGTCTTGGGAAGTGCTCTGAGAAGGGCTTAAACCGGAAATAGACCATTCTGAGAATGACTCAAACTCATTCAACACAAGGTCCTCCCCTCAAACGACCATGAAAAATGCGCGTCAAACTTCCTGGCAGAAAATTAAAGAACTGAAAACGCATGCAGCCACCTGTAGTGCTCCTCGAAGCGGCGCAAACCCTCCGTGATGATGGTCCCAAAGCTATTCACATAAACTTCTTCAGTGCCCGGTGCAGGACCTTGGACTGGAAGCTTTGCTCAAATGGCTGAGATGCGGCTCTGACAACTTGCGAAGCTATCCGTCGCCTACATTCATTCATAAATGTCATAAGCATTCTTGCGGACAAAATGCAGTGAGGTTCGCCGGCTGCAGACTGCTTGCGCTTGCGCGAGAACAAATGCTTGCTTCGTGCGCGCTTCATTGGCTGCGGTCAGCTATGACGTTGAAAGCATGGCGACCACAGGGCTAGGCAGCAAAGCCAGAAACGGCTTTCAGAATGAGGTGGGAAGGATTGCCCACACCTGCGGGGATTGGCTCTCACAACAAACATGCGCTCACTAGCTCACGGGTGTTCACTGTTGTCCATCTAGGGTCCCACGCGCAACTGCTGGCAAGTCATGCGACGGAACCTGAACAATACCATTTAATTATATAACTTCCGAGCCAATTTGCTATTGACACCATTGAAGCCGCCCGCCTGAACATCAGGCTGCATTGGCATGGCAAAGAAACCGTCCTGTGTCTGTTTTTGGAGAATTTCTATGAATTTCTCAATATTATAAATTATAAAGAAAGTGGTCACGAGTCAGTGCCAAATAGGAAACAAACTTCAGGCACACAACAGGCGGTCTTGGCTATAGCCAAAAGGCATCTCCTTGGCTAGTTTGGGCATAAAGGCAATGTCACTGCACTTGCTCAGCGAATACAGTATCTTCCTCAGAGCTTGACCGGAAACTGGATGTGCTTCACATGCCGTCGGAGCAAGGCATCCATAACGGCCTTGCAGGCAAATTTTGGACACTCCACCTCAGCCTTGCATCAGAAGTTAGAAACTCGTGATGGGACTTGGGTTTGCAAAGTGCAGGGCTGCCTGCGATGAAGCAGCCTATCCTACTTTACCAACCCTTGCACACTGCTCACTGCTCAGGCAACATGGTCAGTCATTCAAGGGCTCAGCCTGGGTGTCGTTGCAGCCAGTTGTTCGCGCATGCTCCAGGATTGCCACACGATAACTGGGCGAGGTGGCAAAGCAATGGCATCTGCCAACCCCAAATGTACAAAGTAGGAGGCAGCAACCCGGTTGTAGAGAAAGCGTTCCTGCAAACCAAATCTTGTTTTTGCGAGGGCAAGCCCGGTAAGAGTAGCGTGGAGCAAAACGGCCAAGATCAAAAACACCTTGTTTGAGGCGTTGTCACACTAGGGACTCTGACTGCCTTAGAGCTTCTTCATCAGGTTCGGGAGCTCCATGCCTGAGATAGAACACCCAAAATTTTGCGAACACCGTGATGCAGATCTTCCAGCGAGGGCATGGGAAGTAAATTCCTAATATGGTTCACGGTTTTCAGAACCCTGCCATATCAAAAGGGTTCCCATTCTCGGAACTGCTGCTGGGAGGTGTGGGAGACTTGCCGAGAAGCTTCAGTCTAAGCCCTTTCTTGAAACCACCTGACCAGGACTCAGTCCTGTACTTGAGCTCCGTCCACTTCGTTCAATGATCAAGAACCAAGAACAATCAAAGCACATTGAGCTCCTTACGGTCATAAATGCTGACTGCCATTTCGAGAGGCAATAAACATGCCACCCAGTGCTCATCTGGCCGAGTTGAAGGGGTGCCCAACTGTGTGAAGGTCTCAACACTTGGCAAGCCCGCAGTTTGCAGCCAAAACTCTGCAGTTTCACCTTGATGTTCGACAATGCCCTGACAGTGTGGCCACAGCCCCATCAAATTGCAACATTGTAACATGACGTGCACATTGTGCAGCATGACTTCGGTGGACCCACGTGGATTTCCATCAACATTTGTCCTTTCCCGGGGCTGTGGTGAGAGCCTTAGCCACAGCTTCCTCTCAGCAATGGTTCGTGCAGAAAAAAGGTGCTGCTCCACGGTGAAGCATGTACAACCTTGGCATGTTATGTTTGCACCCTCAGCGCTGAACCTTTGTCCCAGCTTCGTGCTATTTGCGTGTTCTAGGCTTTCAGCTTTCCTACCGTCATGTACCATCTACGGCTCCACGCTCAAAAAAGCGCGAGCAATCCCATGGCGGGTCGCAGAATCTTGTATATAACCTTTTGGATTTTGGTGCCGTGCTTTGAGGCCATGGCTGATGCCAACCTTCTCAGTACAAGTTGTACCTTTTGGGCATCATTTGCTGCCAGCTCTCTCGCTCGCTCGCTCACTCACTCACTTATTCGCGCTCTCTCTCTCTCTCTGTCTCTCTCTCTGTCCGTCTCTCTCACTTCTCTTACAATCTCACATGATGTCACATGCAACAACCAACAAACACACCTTTGCCCGTTCCCTACTCCCAAGACTTGGCAGCAAGCGAGGCGTCAGTATGATCTCTGACAAACACTCCTCAAGCCGTATCAGGACAAAGCAAACGAAGTGCAGATTTGTGCTCCAGCAGTCCTGGCAGCTCTCATTGTCGTACATGACAAGCCTGCCCTCGGTGGTGTAACTGAAAGCTTGACACGGACCAGTGATCAACAGCATTGCTACCAAACGTTTTACATGGCCCAGCTGTCCCCACACATCCGAGCCTTATCACCCTGCTGCGGCTGGAGCTCGCAATAAAGCACCTGATTGCTGGTTTCTGAATCATATTCGGCAATCAGCTGTATGGAGTACAAAGACTTGTCTACTTGTCTCCTTGTTGCGGGGTTCTGTCGGAGCGTTGCCCGAGCCAAAGCATCTCAACTTGCTGTGGTCCCAGCGGAAATAGTGTTGGAGTCATCATGGTGTGCCAAATAGCCTGCCTGTCCAAAGGCTGCATTACTTGAGGCCAGATCCGGACTCTGGTTGCCGTTTCCCGTTCTCATTGACACAAGCACCGGACTAAAATCCGCCGGCTCGTCTTGGGAACCTTGCAATATGTGCTTGGATAGCTGGACTGCACGTGACCAAATGGTTTCAACTTGGAGCCAAGCACTTGCCAAGGGCCTACAGCATATCTGGAAGCTCGGGTACAAAGATTGAGTGACCTCGATTGTTGGAACCGCATTTGGCTGACTTGTCCTGAAGGAACCGGGCTGAGGCACCCTGATGCAATATGCCAATAGAAAGTGGGAGACAGTAAGGCTCGAACCAGGCGCACTGCCCTGGAAATGTCCAAAACCTTAGGCTCTCAGGCGCCCCCCCAAAATACAAACAACATCTGCATTGCACATGCGAGCTGTGAGAGTGAGCAAGTCTGGCAAGTCTCCTTTTTGCACTTACATCATCTTACATCGAGGTCTGAAATTTGAACATGGCAGTGCTGTGAGACGCACAAGGACCCGCATGATTCGAAGGAGTAAAGTGGAACAAAGGCACGGCTCACAAGTGCAAAAGCCGTGCGTCCCCAAGCTGCAAAAGTGGCAAGACAAAAAGTGGCGACATGAGAATCTCTACTGCATACACCCAAGGGCGGCTCTGGATGTTGAGAGACGACTCCAGTTTCATTGGAACCATCTGCGACACAAAGAAGGTCATCATCATGGCAATTTGGTGTCCCCTTGCCCCAATGCAAACAAGAGGCCAAGCATGGCCAAGACCGGAGACCAAGAAGACGACAAAGCCAGAGACGTCTGAGGAGAGACCAAAGTCATCTCTGAGTGGTCGAAAAATGCCGTGCATCAGCATCCTTTGCACTGGAAGATTCCACTGCCGCCAGAAGTCCTTCACAGTCCGAGATTGCCATAATCCAGGCCCAAAAATTGATTGCACGCTGAGCTGGTTGAAGTAGGAAAGCAAGAACAAGTAGGCCCGGTCAAAGGTGTAGAAGCCAAAAACCACACATCCAACGCCAAATGCACAAACAAGAAGCCAAATGCAGCTTGTTGTCAAGCGGCTTTCGGGAAGATGGTTGACCGCCACACCGCAAACCACCAACCCCAGCAGTGCAAATATCAACTCGTAGAAGACAGAGCGGTAGTGTGATTCATGCTCAGCAGCTCCCAGCACTTTCACTCGGTCTACGTCATGCCAACCTTTTTGCAAATCTCCATCTGCGGGAGCACAAAAAGAGCAAGACAGCCAAGGGCTGTGCAAATGCGTCGCTGGACAAGCTTGGGGCTGGGCACAAGAACGCATAAATTTAACCACAGCAAGCAGGCTGGCCACAGCAAAACACCCCAGAACTCCCAAAAGGACTCTGCGGCAATAGCAGCTGCAACAAAGAGGGCCAGAAAGCTCAAAGAGAAAACTGTCAGGCCCAGTGTGGCAGCTTTTGGTGATTCATACCTTTGGGCTACCTCGTCCTCCATGTCCATCTTCATGGCAATTTACAGTATTTCGCTTGTGACACTGGTTGGCCAACCTTGCACTGGCATGCTGAGCATGTTGAGGGACTCTCTTCGGTTCATGTTGAGAAGTGCTCAGGGTTTAAATTTGTCACTCTTGGGTGCTGTGTCTTTTGCAGGATAACCGTAATGTGCCAACTAACTAATTAACATGAAACGTGATGAAACGTGTGAGGGCAAATGGTTGCGGAATGTCAGTTACGAAAAAATCACTTGCGAGTTTGTCAAACGCCCGCCCGCCATTCCAAAAGTGGCTTCAAGATGCCCTTTTCCTCACGTGGCCTGACTATCACCAGGCCTCCCAGCCCAAGCTGCACGCTTTTCCTCAGCTACTCCGGCGTCAAATTTTTTCTCATGCACCTTGGCCGGCAAAAACTGAAAGCATGTCTCGCTTTCTCTCAAACCAACCTCTCGGTTTCATCCGGTCTTCATCTCTGCCCCGCTCCAGACATCAATCTCTATTCTCTATATATAGAATTACACTTGGTGAGGCCAACCGCCTGATACTGGCACCAGGAACCCTAATGCCTCCCTAATGCCCAGCCTGGACGGCCTTGGACACGTTATCTTTAATATTTCCTCATCATATACACAGGCCCCTTAGGTTTGGCCACTGAAGCTACTGGGCACGGCATGGCACACCACAAACTGTCTGGGGAAAGGGCTCCGAAGTACAAGCACACTCCGTGTGTAAACATCGACACCTGAGACAACATGGTGCATCTGAAGGGTAAAAAAGGATATGAAAAAATGAAGGTAAGGTCCCCTTCCCTTCTTCTTTTCCTAGATCGAGACCGGCTCGAAACATTGCGAGACAAAATTTCAAGAATGCCTTGAAGCAACGGAATTCTGCGAGATTGACACCCTGGCTGGTGATCGCCTGGCTTGGCAACCCACAATGCAAGCCTTTCAAAAGAAATT